TTTCGACAACTGACAAGGATGTCTTGGGTAATTTCGACTATAATACCATCAGTCCCACCTTTTTTTTTTATTGTCCTTGGGCCTAGGTGCAGCTTCACACTAGGGCTGTACCCCGGTAGCAAACACGCTCGCGCTCGCAAGACCCTAGTTCAAGTCACAAGCCTCAAATCACTAGGTCAAATCATCAAATCAAATCACCAGCATGATACGTTGAGTCTAGCCTCAGCTTCAAGTACCCACACCGCGAAACCACTAACGTCAGAAAGAGAGAGAGGGGGAGAGAGAGAGAGAGACCCCGCGCACAGTGTCACTGCGCCACAAACTGGTCTGTTCGATTATTCGAAGGCATTCGAGCAGCGGACGGCAGACAAGACTCAAATCGCAGTACCCGTTACAAAGATCATCGTGAAAGCGAAGAGTCAGGACACCCTTCCGAGAAAAAAATCTATTTGAGAGAAAAACCAAAGAGATTATAATATATTGTACTTGAGCTCACAACAATGACGTCACACGTGTCAGACATGGGAACCTTCTTACCCTTATCGGCATGGCCGGTGTCCCCACATTTACATGACCAATCTGAGCCCCCACCCCGCTCCCCACGAACATTAGTATATTAAACACAACCCTGCCCCCATATTTCTGTTGAACTGCACATGTCTCGCCCTTGAGGTTCAGCGTCCCAGAGTAGGCACACGCAGTCCCGACTCTTCTCTTAAATTTTCTCCTTTTACCCCCTTTCCTGCTCTCTAACATTGTTCTGTCGTCTGCTTCCGTCTCCACCCTCTGACCCACCCCCACATCCCTTGCTCCACCTCTAGACGCTGGCTCTTTCTGCAGCCTTTCTACCGCAACGACTACTCCTTGGCTCCTTCCCACAGCTGTCTTGAGCCGCACCCCTGATTCTAGGGTAGGTATGATCTAACAACTAGCTTTCCTTCTCGGATAAAGGCGAAAAATCTCGGAAGTCCAGTGTACCAGCTGCGCTCGTTAAAGATCCTCGGTGGTCCAAAATTGATAAGAATAGGCTTAGGCCACCACCCAGCCAAAATTCAATATAAATTCCTACCACAGAAAAGGTTTAATGTATCCCTCGCTCTTATATGAGTTGCTAGGGACGTAGAACATTTACCAAAACAAGAACAAATAATCAAAAACAAACACAAGTTTGGCCGAACAACAGCTGGCTTTGACGTGAGTGGACAGTTGACCACATCCTCATATCGTATGGACACAAAGGGTTAATGTGAGGTACCGTCAACCCCCAGTGTCCTTGTATCACGTGTCTGGGTTTATTTCCCGGGGGGGGGGGGGGGGGGGGGGACTATTAAAGGAAGGTGGGGGAAAATGGGGGGGGGGGGGGGGGAAAAATTATTTTCTTTACCCCAAATTATGAGAAACTTCTTCTGCACGTGAAATTCAGTTTTCTAACCAGACGATCTTTTTATTCAACGCACCTCATGTACAAACTGTTTCATTAAGTATTAAGTCCCTTTTCCTGCGAGCTACATTGAGCTCAACAAATTATTTCACGAACATGTCGAGGTATAAGGGGCTTCTGAAAAGGGACTAAATACCAAAAAAATGTCTGTAAGAAGAAGTTTGCATGTTTGTGTGTGTGTGCGTGTGTATGCGTTCGTGTCCTATCGTGGAAAGGGGAGCTGTACGGTTGGCAGGTCCAGGAAAAGTATTTAAGCACCGAGGAACTGGGAGACAGAACACATCCTCCAAAGACAGTCAGGTTAACACAATGGTGAGTAGACTATGTCAGTACACTGTGATATGTTGTGTGACAGTGAGTCAAACGTTAGGGCATACACCTTGCTGCGGTTTGTTTTGTTGTTGTTAGTTGTATTTTTGTGGGGAAGGTGTTCCCTGCGGTTTGTTTTTCGCTCCTGGACTTTTTTAAAAATTAAAAAAACTATCCAATTTACGATGAACGTATGCATGTCTTTTTACAGATAATCTTGTCTCAAACTCAAATGCGAGAATTTGCTAGATGTATGACACTGACAGAAATCCTTTACTATGTTTTATTATTTTTTTAAAAAAAGAGCCCCATTTACTGGACCCCTATATTTTTGTATTCAGCAGTAAGTCGGAAAACTCAAATTATTGGAATCTGTTCATTCATAATTCGTGACCTGTAAGTAAAATGAATATACCAGCCTATTGTGCAGTTATATGCTTATGTTTTCACTTCGAGAACTCTGTAAATTCCAGTGTCGTATTACCCTATTGTAATAGACATGGCCACACCATTTGAGAACTAAGTTCTCTTAAGAAGATTCTGGGAGTACCTTCACCAGGAACTGTTCCTATCATTCCTCATTGTTTCAGACGTTGCAAGTTTCCGCTCTCTGCATTCTGCTTGGGATTGCTCTGGCGGTCTGTCATGCTGGTAAGTTAAAGTACAGGAAGCTTGAGCAATTGTAATACTTTTGACATTTTCTCCCTAAATTAATTCTGTACTTCAGAGCTTCGCAACATAATTAGAATCCGGCATCTTTATCCTAACCTCACCCCTGCAACCCACACCTTTAAAAAAAATTTAATTACGTGTTTTGTGTCAAATTCTGTGAAACTTAACTTGTACTCAATCTAACATGGTTTAAAAAAAATAATGTACATATGTCACAGTGATATCTAAGAAAAGGTAGGTTTTTAACTTTAAATTCACCGTACCATAAGATGCTTTAAAGAAATGTTTGATCTATTATGGTGCCCTGAGGAAAAAAATATTTGTGAATATTTTATATTATTTACCGAAAAAATGGCCCCGTTTTATTCTCGCCCCTTGTTGCTTCCAGGTGCGTTCCATGGATGTTCACATAACAAACACCAAACCCGTAATGGGCTCAAGGGTTCTGAGAAAAAGCAGCTAGTGTGCTATTACACTAACTGGGCCCAGTACCGGCCGGACCAAGGCGCGTTCTTCCCCGAGGACATAGACGCGGACTTGTGCACTCACATTCACTACGCCTTTGCCATTATTGTGGACGGTCTTCTGGCTCCCTTCGAGTGGAACGATGACGACACGCCTTGGTCAGATGGAATGTGAGTCGATTGTCCTACGTACGTGGTGGTAGGGGGTGGGGGAGGGTAGGGTTGTCCTTTGTACGTGGTCAGGGAGGGAATGAGTTGTATTGTCAGTTCTACATTGTATGTTTTATAAATCTTACTTTGAACGCGGTTTTAAATTACGAGTTGTATGTCCGTTGTACTTTGCATGTTGTATTAAATAATACTCTGTACATGGACTACGTATTTGTGAGACATTAGTACATAAAACGTTGTTCCTTGAAAACTTTTTACTTCCTTGCTAACATCATTACAAAAGTTTCCTCGGCGTGGGTGTAATTGGAGGTGTGGGGATGTCTAGAGTTTAGATAACTTGATTTGTTCTTTTTTTCCATAAAATTAAAATGTCCCGGACTTCTCTGTACTTCCATGGTCCTTTCTTCACCACTCAAGCCAAATGTTCTACCCTGGGTCTGCGTGTCTAGTAGGGATTCGGTTTAATTAAAGGACTTTTTTAATTTAATAAAAAAAATTTTTTTTTTGGGGGGGGGGGAGCTATGTGAATGGTTGGTCGCAAATGTGCTTCATTCCAGTGCTTTACCAATATTTTCTTCGAGTAGTGGTCGTCAAACGACTGTACGCGTGTGACCAATAATTCCAAGGGTATCTTGTTAATAATAATTTCCAGGTACACTAGAGTCAACAATCTTAAGCAGAAAAACCCAGCACTGAAGACTATGCTGTCTGTGGGAGGCTGGAACATGGGAACCCGAAACTGGACTCTGATGGTACAAGATGAGTCGTCGAGACAGAAATTCATTCAGGTGAGGACAAGTGGGTTCGTTTTTCCCGTTGAAAACCTATATTCTCTAGCAGACAATAGACAGGGTTCCTCATCGTACCATGAACATTAGGCACAGAAACCTGCGATAGGTTTGGGAGCTTAATATATCATCTTTCACTTTCAAGAAGTTTTGGCTATTAAGAAAAATGGGAAGAGCGTAAATCTACCGTATGACAGTGCTATATATTGCGTCTTTCCTGACGTGACACCTCGGATTATATCCATGTGGCTCTTGGGCGTGAGATACTGTCAATGTAAAAGGATCCTAGGTGATTAGAGGACTGTCACTGTCTTAGTTGTACGGTATGTTTATAAACTTTACACCACAAATTGTCAATTTAGGCATGCTTTGGAATTCTCTGAACACTGTATAATTCTAGCTCTTTCAGATATGGAAAGCTTTTTTTAGTCTCAGTTCTAATTGTTCCTTTCAGAACGCCATCCCCTTTCTGCGACAAAGAAACTTTGATGGTCTGGATCTGGACTGGGAGTACCCAGGCTCAAGAGGCAGCCCTCCTGAAGATAAGGAAAGGTTCACCTCGCTGGTTAAGGTTAGTCATACTTGTGACTTGGGGTTGGGTTTTTTTTGTTGGTTGGTTGGGGTTGTTTTTTTTTGGGGGGGGGGTGTTAGGGGGTGGGGTTGTCATGAAAAAATGTACCCAATCATTTGATGTTAGTGTCAAAGAACATAATCAGTGTCAAAAGACATAAATCAAGCAACCAAATCGATGGTTTTCCAGGAACTGAAGGTGGCCTTCGAAGCTGAGCCTAGGCCATCGGGTACACCACAACTTCTCCTGTCTGCCGCTGTGAGTGCTGGCAAGGACACAATTGACGCCGGATACCAAGTGAACCTCATTTCAGAGTGAGATCTATTTTTTTTTAAATGCTTGTATTTTCAGGGGTTGTGTACTTGGTGAATGCTGTCAAAGAGTTCTACATGTCTACTTGTTTTTTTTTTTTTTTGGTGTGTTATCTGATCTGCTTACAGTAAAATATGGTAGAACAATATCTTAGCAATATTGACAAATTAAAACGATACTTTTCCAACGCTATACTTTATGAACATTCTGTGTACTGCTTCTTTCATATAGGCTTTTAAAATTTAAAGAAATTAAGCTTTTCTCGTTTAAACTGCAATTATAAACTGAAACAACTGTTGAGTATTGACGCAATTATAAACTGAAACAACTGTGAGTATTGACGAGTGTTTGTTTACCATGCTATAGCAAAGTTTCCCATTACCTAACTGGCAGTTTCATTTGTTCACAATGCTGCCATGGTGTTGTAGCTGCCATGGTGTTGTGCTGGTACAGACCACTCTTGGTGGTACTTGTACTGTTACTCGCACACATTCGTCTGATGTTCCGATGCCATGCAAGTATTAATGATTGTCTGCTACTGGAACCTTTCTGTTCTCCAGAAAACTGGACTACCTCGTCCTAATGACCTACGACTTCTACGGTGCTTGGGACCCCGTGACAGGACACAATAGTCCTCTCTACAAGTCGAATGATTCAACCTTGGCAAATAACGAAATCTTTAACGTGGTGAGTAGAATCTTAAACTGTTCGTGGCATGCTTGAACCTGACGTATCTTTACTATTTACAATGAAATTCTGATAAAGTTAACACCTTCGGACCAAAAGTTTAACTTTGAGCAAGATTGACTTTATCTTTGTACTTCTGGCCATTTAAATTGGAGAGGACAGCTACAGAATAACAAAGTACCTGATAAAAAGACGTTAGCTCAATTTCTGTGACTAAACAAGAGATGAGTGAACAAAGTAATTGGAGGTGTGTATACCACGCACATGTTGACTGACCACTGCATCTGTTATTACTGATCAGTATGCTTCAGTATGCATAATACAAAAATGAAATTAGTTTATCAATAAAGGCAGTGTTCATGTTAAATTTAACGGCTGCATCAGCTGAGCTGTCTTCCAAATCTTGGTCCTGTCCCTGCTCTTTCTCTTCTTCTTCCACCTCCATTTCTTCCGTCCTCTGTAAAGCCCCGTGCCTCTTCAATGCAACAATGCTTGGAAAATATTGTCCACATTCCTTGTGGCCTCTGCACACTTTTGGCCTATGTGGCATTCCTTGTGGCCTCTGCACACTTTTGGCCTATGTGGCCTTTCTTGACCAAGGCCACCCTTTCCCCCCCTTTCTTTTCCCCTCCCAAAAGTGTATTACATTTGAGGCAGCGTGGTGGAGATCAGGTTCTGAATTTTTGGGCATGTAGAGGTATTGGTATCACCCTAAAAACCCATTTTACTTGAATACAAGTCGCGATATTTGCAAAAGGGGTGGGGGTACCTGTTTTCAGAGATAAAACTAGTAAGAAAATGGCCGCAAAGATTAGTTATTTCCTTATATTTCCTTAGCTTAAGAGTCCGTGGTAGCTGCAAATTTACATTTTTGTGCCTTTATTCAACGCATTTCAGAAAAATCCACACAGAAATGAGTTCTTTAATGGGCATGAAAGTGTTGAGCCAAAAAACAAATTCGATAAAAAATTCACAAACCTGCGGAAAAATGCAAGTTTCTTCACTTTGATTATTTTGACGAGTCTGATTCCACCACGCTGCCTCACATTTGTTCAAGATCCCCCCCCCCCCCCCAACACTTTTTTTACAGGATCCACAAGGACCCCCAAACCCTTTCCAGGTGTAAGATTATAATTGAACAGTAACAGACGAGTCTTGATTTGTACATCCGTTTCTTGTACTTGCATGACATATTGTATGTACAGTGCTGTGCAACCATCCTTCATGACATATTGTATGTACAGTGCGTGCAGCCATCCTTCATGACGTATTGTATGTACAGTGGCGTGCAACCATCCTTCATGACGTATTGTATGTACAGTGCCGTGCAACCATCCTTCATGACATATTGTATGTACAGTGCTGTGCAACCATCCTTCATGACATATTGTATGTACAGTTCCGTGCAACCATCCTTCATGACATATTGTATGTACAGTGCCGTGCAACCATCCTTCATGACATATTGTATGTACAGTGCGTGCAACCATCCTTCATCATTCCTGTATCTCAATAACCGGTATCTGGTGCTGCAATTGTTAGCTTCGCTGTCGTATACAGTAAAACAAGAGTTCTTTTCTCGAATTAGGAATGCATCTCGGTCTTTTCTCTCTCCCGGGCCCGGGTTGGCTCTGACTGGCAAAGATCGGGTGGCCGCCTCCTACATGATCTACATTGTCTATTAGAGTGAATTGCCTACACCAGGAACACTTATCGCATTTATTCCTTCTGTTGTTCAGGATTTTGCATCCAACTACTGGCTGAAGGGGGGCTGCCCCAGAGACAAACTGTACATTGGACTGGCCACGTACGGACGGTCTTTCACTCTGAGAGACGAGAGCGACTCTGGACGTGGCGCTCCGGCCGCCGGTGCTGGAGTGGCTGGCACGTACACTCGGGAGGCTGGCTTCTTGTCTTACTACGAGGTGACCGAATCTCTTCTTTTATCGCTTCATTTTTTTTAGTTGTGTTGCCGATTGTCGTCCTATGTTGCCATGTGAAATGGGCTCCTTCATCGCACCTTTTCGTCTCAACTCCGGTGTGAAATTTGTCAAATGTAGGGATAATGGGTGTGAAATGTGTAGAATCTCGTGGTATGGGGGTAAATTATTTAAAATACACATTATAAACTCTTTGACGTACAGTATATCCGCTAATCGATACGTTTTTGCCTCGCACAGTGCAAGGTTACGCCTTTGAAATATCGTGTTAAAAAAGTTGTTCCTCTCTGCGAGTGGTTGGTGGGTGATCTGGTGTAGTTTCTTTCCTGTTTCTTTCCTACAAAAACTATCTTCTTGATCTCCGTAGTTATTGTCTTGTACCCCCTTATCTCCGGCACTTGTACAACCCAATATTGTTATGAAACGCCTTAAAACTTTCACTGAACAAATTGTTCCTAAACAAGGAATTTTGGATGTGTAAGTGTTCCCTTCGTTTTCAGGTGTGCGAAATGATCGCAGCCGACGCTAGGGTAGTGACTCTGGAGGACCAGAAAGTTCCTTACCTGGTGCTGGGGAACCAGTGGGTGGGCTTCGATAACAAGGAGAGTATTGAAGAAAAGGTGAGGCCACGCCGGACACGCAGGCCGCGCATTGTAAGGGTCGTCTGGGTTAGAAATGATTTAGAATGACTAATTTAAGCAAATTTTCAAATCTACCAAATGCATACTGTATGGACTTATCTCCTAAGTGGATGGTTGGCAGGTGCTCTCGTGTGGTTCACTGATTACACCTATCCAACGGTTCATTCTATCTCTTCTGGACTTTTTCACTTTCTTCGACACGTATTCACGACCTCTTCGAGTTGCAAATGCCTTAACTTTTATTGAAACTAAACTATTCCATTCCAAATAACACAAGTCAAAACCACAAGTTGAATGTATTGAAATGTTATATTTCAAATGTTCTTCAGTTCTATTTGTCGACAAAGCTGCTTTGGTTGGCATTGTTCTTGAAGCAAATTAACGTTTTCATAGTTCTTAGCTGAGAATTGAGAAGACTAAAGGCCGATCACACTGACCGGTGTACGACAACTGAAAGTCCGCCGGCTGTGTTTGGAAACGGCTGATTTGTTTGCTCACTGGCTGTTCTCATGAGGAGTGCCGTCGGATAACGTTGCGGAACTTCGGGTGTTTCAGTGAACGCTTCCAGGAGCAAATTTTGACACCGTCGAGGCGTCTGCACCTCGGAGGCCTACTGGAGGTTCGAACATGGAATTACTAATTAAATATTGGATGGATTAAAATATAAATCTTTTCTTACATCGGCGCCTAAAAATGTTTACTTGCTCGTGCACCTAATTTTTGCGATATTCAAAAAATGTAATTTCTTAAATCTATCTGGCTAGATCTTTTAAGTGAACGTCTTGGGCTGCCTCAATGACGTCGAGATGATTGTTAGACAAAGCAGACGCGCCCGCATACACACGAGCACGCATACACACGAGCACGCATACACACGAGCACGCATACACACGAGCACGCATACACACGAGCACGCACACGCGCGTGCACACATAGATGTAGGCCCCACGTGTCAAGCTGGTCTTCGACTGCAGTGGTGTTGTTTTCCTGCTGCAGTGCAAGCGGAGATTGATTTTAGTATAGATGCCTATCCGTTTCAGGTTCGTTGATCACCATTAGTGTACAAAATAAGTTTTCAATTAAAAAATTCATCGAACTCGCTCAGCAAAATCCACCCTTGTATGACAAAACATGGACACCGCTTCACTTTCGCTCCAAAACGTTGCAATCCTGTGAACATTAAAGTTCGTAATTTCCGCAATTTTTTGTCGCCGCACACCGCTACATGTGAATCGCTGAAAACTTTTAGATTTGAGTTTATAAAATCTCAAGGATTGATAGAAATTAATCTTCTCCCCAGAAAACTGTCACTTATTTATGGTCTCTTCTTTGCTATGAGCTATTAGTTTTGTATTTCACGTGGGATGGGTAACATTTAAGTATTCTGAAGTGGAACCATTTAATGCTAAAATATATACGCGTGAGATGAACAAAGTTAAGTCTACAAAATGATCATTTTAGAGATTGTTCCATTGTTTATCCTGGGACGTTTGTTATTTTGGGGTGGGGGGGGGGGGGGGGGGTCATATTAAATCTAGGATGAACCCATTATGAAACATCTGTGTTGAACCCACAACAAATTTCTATCAACTTCTTTAGTGGCACATTTTCTGCGCTTCACACGATGTTGAGCGAGTGACAGTTGTAGCCAGTCCCTCAAACTTATTTACCATTATTAATCTCTTCCACAGATTAAGTACATTCAGGACAATGCATTTGCTGGTGGCATGGTATGGGATTACGACTTGGATGATTTCGATGGAGAATTTTGCAGCCAAGAACGATACCCGCTCATCAGTTTGATTAGCCAGTCTTTGTTGTGATCGTAACGTGTTGCTGTTGCCGTGTGCTATCATTTTTTCTTTCCCAGCAAATAAAACTATAAGCACAAGTGATGGCGATTTGACTCCCTTTGTTTTGTTCCAATTTTGAAATCTTTTTGGCTGCAAGGTTAGCCCTGCACATTAATACAAGGCACTGAATAAACTCTTACAACTCGCTTCCTACAACGCGATAGAATTGGATCATCTAGGAAGCTGGCTTTTAGTCTTGCCTTGAGGCCAAGTAGGAAAGTTTATCTCACGAGAGGTGCACTCGATGGAAATCGTCTCTTTCCGTAAACTGGTCGTGTATTTTGTACTGGCATTAATTAACCTACAGACACTCTTTCCCCCTCCCCAGAACTTTACTTTTACTCGCTCCAAACCTGCATCAGGAATTGTGGGTAAAATTTCTTGACAGCAATGATCTAAAGTTCCACCAGTATTATGCTCCGGCTTAACTAGGGATGTTGAAATGTGGCAGGTCTCATTCTTGAGCTTTTGAAACTGTTTCTGCTCTGAACGTACTTCATCCATGAAGTGATATGCGCCATAATTAGCGCGGTATTTGGAGATTTTATACACCAAATGGTGATGTCTGTTTTTACTTCGAAAACTCAACCACTGAAGTACGCCTTCGTCCATCTTGAAAAGAGACAGACGTAGACAAAAGGAAGAGATCGCTACTCCCTCAGACGGGCTCCTTGCTAACCTTTCCATTTACTGGACACAAACGGGGTGATCAAGGAGAGAGTGTACATGCTAGGTGACTACGCTGTCTGTACACAACCAAGTTCACATCGACAGGTCCAGGATTCTTCGTGTCCAAAATGGGTCGGGTGAAGAATTGGTCTCTTTTAAGCAAAAGTGGGCTATCCCGAAAATTTTTTTTTTTAGAAAATTGAAGATAAGTTTTGCCCCCTTTCAGTTTTTTTTTTTAAAGACAAGGAGAGCTTCTCTATAACTAAACAACTTATTTTATACATCATTTCTCCTATAGGTGGGGCAATATCTACTTTTGGTGTAGGTAAAGATTTCTAGAAACCCCGGCCGAAGAACTTTTTGCGTGGAGTGCAACGTAAATTTCAGTTCGGTACATCCTAACGGAATGAGTCGAATTTAATGATGTTCGTAAGACCTATTTTAAATGTAAAAATATCAAAATCCTTTTTGACATTGTAGACCCTAGAAAAATTTTGAGTTATGTAAAAGGAATAGGACTATTTAATAGAATATGAAAATATGTAGTTATCGTTATTGGTGTGATATATATATATATATCACTGAAATTAATATTGTATATACAAAGGTTAATTTGCCTTTTCCATATTTACAAAAAAAATTATAAATGTCTGTCCGTTTTTTTAGCATAATGAAAATAGTGTGATCGTGTGCGGTTGTGAGCTCCGAGACTCTTACTAAAAACGTCTGATTTTGTAGCGGTGAAACCTGTTGGCGCTTAAATGACCAAAATTGTGTCGATAGTACCGTAAAACATCTACTCAATCAAAATCATAGGAAATTAATTCCATCCCCACAAACCACAATGTGGGTTTTTTAAGCGGGGGCATGTACGGACTGGGTAGCTTATCCGTGGAATGAGTATCGCCCTCCCTTCCCACAATTTTCCCCGCCCTTCAAAGAGGACAGAAAGCCACACATAATTGGGCGAAAACTTGAGGCCCGGTTACACGTAACGATAAATTGTACAACTGACGATCTAGCGATCATAGGATAAATCGTTAGGCGTAACCACAAAATTGTACAAAGTTTGGACGATTGAACGATGGTTTGGAGACTCGGTCGAGAAATCTATGTTCTCTATGTTATCACTCTACATTCTTATTACGCCGGAAAAACTGGGAAGGACGCCTCGCTGTGAACTCGCGACCTCAGCGGGTTGAGCTATTTGCGTGACGTCACCCGACTGGATTGGGGACAATTTTAAATGGACATTTCAGAGCTGGTGCTTCACGGTAGTCAAAAACTAATTACACATTTTTTAAATCAGCGTCGTCAAATTAGGGTGGCACTCTTGGAGCTAATATCTAGGCTGCTCACGCACCGGCTTCACGTGGTTACCCCGTCACTGAACTTGCGGATTCCTTTAACTTTAACCTATATCCGGCGTCGCACTGACTTCACATGACAATCCCCACACTTTCACGATTTTTATTTTACCTCTGCAATAAAATTGCTCTCTGTAAATCGTCATTCTGCGGTCTAGGGGCGGTAATTATAAAAATACCACAATCAGAGGATGTAGAAAGCTGAAACTCATTTTAATCAAAATTGCATTAATTGTACTTTTGACTTCATATTTGGATTCTGCTATAAAAATACTTAACGCCCCAGATTTTAATGTTTAGTCTCATTTTCGCAATATAGACACACACAAAAATTGTAAACACGCTGATCTCGACCTACATGTTTTGACTGTGTTGTTCACTTCTTTTTGTAGTCCGTATACAGGTCAAGTATATTGAGACACTTGATTCAGAACTTGAGCAGAGAAGATGGAAGAAGCACTAATAGCAGTGATAGAAGAGACCTGCACTTTTTGATAAATCACAAGACAATTACTCAAACAGAAATTACTTCAACAAGCAGCGGGTAGACATTGCTAAAGGAGTGTAAGTGACAAAATAAAGTCCTTGGTTTTTTTTAAATCACGAGGGAGAAATGAATGTGTAATCAGTACGTTTGTGTACTGAACTCACCCCCCCCCCGAAAACAGAGTTGAAAACTTGGGTAGCTGGAAGCCAGTGCTTTTGCAGCCCAAGTGAGTCCAGCTATCATCAAAAGCACGACAAACTTTCGAAAGCCTTTGCCCCAAGAGAACGCCTTTTGATTACTTTTAGGTAACGTGGATGATCTTGTTCAGTATCATCATCATCATCTAGTGCCAGATCTGCGACAGACATCGGCGATCATGGTTTTTCATTCATTCCTTTGCTCGGATGCTCTCAAGAAAGCTACGTTTCCCTGATCTTTCCCTTGTTTTTTTGTTTTTGTAAGTGTTTTACGGCGCTCACAACTGTATAAGGTCATATGAGCGCGCGGGACACACCTAATATTTTCAGTTGGTAGGAAATTTTGAATTTTGCCCGGGTGGCGGCCGAAGCCTACTCTTACCGACATTACGGGCTCTCCGAGATTTTTCACCCTTGTCCGAGAAGGCTAGGTGTAGATCTTTCCTACCAGAAGATCAGGGGTGTGGCTGAAAGACAGCAGTAAGAATTAGCCAAGGAGTAGCAGTAGAACGGCTGTAGAAAGAATCAGGAGCCCAGGAGGGGGGCAAAGGACATGAGGGAGTGGGGGCAGAAAGAGGATACGAAAGCAGACGACAGAACATTGCTAGAGAGCAGGAGAGGAGGTGAAAGGAGACAAATTTAGAAGAAAATTTTTCGGTCACTACCCGGATTCGAACCCGGGACCTTTGAATGAGAGGCCAACACCTTAACCTCTAGGCCACGAGAGCCCCCTGATCTTTCCCCGTTGTCCATTTGTTTAGAGGTTCATTAAGTATGTTGTTCTGGGCCTACCCCTGCCTCGCTTGCCCTCAATTTTGTCAGTGAGAGCTAGTTGTTCAAGACCCTTGTGTCTATTCAATCAGGTGTCCCAAAAACTGCATTTGTCGTTTCCTGATTGTTCTTAACATTGAGCGTCTCACGTGGGCTTCATCAAGCACTACCTCATTTGATTTCTTTTCCGTCCACGATACTCTTAGCAGTCTCCTAAGGAACCACATTTCTGTTGCTCCTATTCTATTTTCACCGTCTTTAGTGATTGTCCAGCATTCACATCCAGTTCAGTATCATCATCAATATCAAAATTACCGTGGTCACCATCATCCATGTCTGCAATACCGTCGTCGCCATCATCATCGCTGTTAAATATTGTTAATGGAATTACTCCGTGAAACATAAGTCAAGAGATTTTTTTAATGAAGTCCCTTTTCGAACAAATTCAACTTTGTGTTTTATTTTAGTTTTCACTGTCATAACGTTTAGATAAAAAAGTTAAGTCAAGATATTTTTTTAAAGTGCTATTGATTGTTTTTTCAATTGTTTGAAAAAAGCGAATGTACTACTCCCTGCTGCGTGCAAATCAAATATAAAATTGGAAATACAAATACAATGTAAAAACTACCTTTAATATGCATTTTAAAAGGACATTTGATTGATTCTGTTGTGAATAATACTCGTATGTATTATCAGAAGCCTGATATTGTTGATATATGCATTATGTATGCGCCGGGTCAACCCGAACTTGAGACAGGATTTGCGATGAAGCAAGGCAATTGTGCACTTCGTCCAAAATGAGAAGCGAACGCGCGTTGTAGCGAAGTTAAGTTGTGTTGTCACTGAGTTTCAGTAGAAGGTTTAAATAGGCCTAGGGTTCCCAATGCACGTTCACACCGAAAGACGAATTCGTAGAGATGACGCGTTTGTTCTTACCGTGTTCGTAGCTTTTGATTGGCATCTTTCGTCTGTTCAGAGTATTTTACTGGCTGCAATTCTCCACACAACGAATTTTGAACACGAATTCTGAAGGTGTCGATGTGAACTTATTGTGTACAGATAACGTAGTCACCTAGCTTGAACATTCTCTCCTTGATCACCCCGTTTGTATCCAGTAAATGGAAAGGTTAGCAAGGAGCCCGTCAAGAGGGAGTAGCGATCTTTGTTTTGTTCCAATTTTGTCCTAATGTTCGGCTCACTGTCACACAACATATCACAGTGTACTGACATAGTCTACTCACCATCGTGTCAACTTGACAGTCTTTGGAGAACACAATCCTTGTGTCCTGTTTCTCAGTTCCTCGATGCTTAAATACTTTTCCTGGACGTGCCAACCATACAACTCCCGTTTCCACGCTAGGACACACACACACACACACACACACACACACACACACACACACACACACACACACACACACACACACACACACAAACATATAAACACACAAAAACACACCTTTTGTAGACATATAGTCTCTTTTCAGAAGCCACTTATACCTCGACAAGTTTGTGAAATAATTTTTTCAGCTCAATGTATCTCCCAGGA